TGTGGACTCAGATAACCCAGTTCAAAGCAGATATTGTGGGATTTTCTGCCTTGATATTCTGGGATATAGGGCTGCATGGAAGAGCCCCAAGTCACCCTTTCCTCAACCGACTTTGGTTTCCTTGATTGAGTCTATCCATCAAGAATGTTGCCTTCTTCTTTTACTACTGCCTTCTAAGTGCAGTTTTCTTCTCTGTCCAGCTTTCACAACCATACATAAAATTTTGAAAACAATGTTATATCATTGCACTTCTGCAGCTTGTCTTATTCCTCTCTTACTGTCCTTCCAAGTCCTAGTCCTTTTCCGAATTCTTGACTGCAGCCTTGGATGCCTGCATTGTAGAATTAATGTAGTTTGATACCATTTGAACTGTCATGTCTCCATGCTATGAAATCATGGGAGTTGCAGTTTTACTAAGTATTTACATTTCTCTGCTGAAGAGTGCTGGTGTTTCCCTAAACTACAAATCCCATTATTCTATAGCATTAAGCTATGACAGTTAAATTATGCATTTAAGCATTTTTGTTGTTTGCTTGCTTTTAAAATGCAATCTTTGATGAACCAATGCCCCAAAGAAAATGATCAACAAACTCTCTTCGTATACTGTGGTTCCAAACTGGAATCCCTTCTCCTTGTGAATAATCCCCCGCCCCTGACCCCGGGGTATTCAAGAAATATGTATGTGTGCATGTGTGCCTTCAAGTTACCTGTTGATTTATGATGGCACTATGAATATTGGGGGGAGGGGGAGGTGGAAGCAAGGAATACTCAAAAGTAGTTTTACCAGTTCCTTCCTCTGAAAAAGTAGAGAAATATGTTGAAAATCAATATGCGTTTAACATGTAGACTGGTCCTCACCCAGATATAAAATAGTGGAAGAAGAACTTATCTTCCTCTTGGTTCCTCCCCTACATATTTATCCAAAGAGTAAAAACCATAGAATGCATTTAGCAGCAAGACATCTATTAATCTAGTCAGAGTTTTAAAAAATGAATATGGAATTCAGCATGGATTTTCCTAACACATTTGTTTCAGAAAGAGCGTGAACAGAACAAACTATTGCATTGAATACAAGAGTAGGAGGGAGAGAGATAAGATGATAGAAGTACTTAATAGCTGTAAACAAAAGTCACATGCCTTTTCTTTTTGTAAAAAATGTGAAAAATTGGAAATGATATGAGATTTTATATCTCTGTTTACCTTAAAGTAGAGGAATGAAGAATATCTGTCCTATTCCAGTGATCAGAGATAACACATTGTTGTTTCTCACTACTCTTTTAAAAGAACGGGGGCATTTTGAGGGAAGCGGGTACTCACTGGTGGAGGAAAAAGGCTAATTCTCTTCTGCCATATGAGTAATACCTAGACAAGTGATCCCTTCCTTTTCTTTCACAATTAGTTTTTCACACAAGCCTTGACTGGATGAAAGTCATAGAGATCATAGTTGTCTCCTGGGGATAAAAGTTCACTGATGCTGTGATGTGATATACCTTTGCTCTGGTTCTCAGAAGATAAAGATCAATGTCTTACTATCAGCTCCTGCACCATAGTTAATGAAAGCAGGGAGTTTCCTTATCACGGTCCTATGATAGCCATGCTCCAGAAAGCTGTTAGCAGGATATCTTTTGGATTAAGACCCATTTAGCACTTTTCCCATTGTTTAGGTCTAAATAAATTACACCATGTGACACAATTTTGTTCCTGGATTATAAGTGTCATTTCCTAATTGGTTCTATCATTAAAACATAAAAAGGTTTATTAAACTGCAAAACTTTGTTTTTGCTGGGCATCCTGCAGCACATTGAGTCTCATATAGTCTGTGGCAGCCACAAAAACAAAGTTTCTTGAGTACAACAACTACTTTCAAAGTAGGTCCTGCACAATTAAATAAGAATAACATTTTCAAAAAAGGAACATTTTTTTTCCAATTTTTTTATTAGAGTTATGAATATTTTTATTTTTATGCTGCATATGTCCTGACTTTTATCCTAGTCTATCCTAGTCTCCATATGTCCTGACTTCTACACAGGTATTATTAGAGTTATGAATATTTGTATTTCTATACTATTTCCTAGTCTGCATATGTCCTGACTCCTACACAGGTATTATTATTATTTCAAACACAACAAGATGAGTCCACAGCAAACAAGATCACTCTGCTGGCCGTTGCATTGGATCACACGTCAGACACTTCCTAAGTGCAGCTGGCAAATGGTAAGCTTGTCAGCGCTGATTGTGTTTAAGTGCAGGCCAAGGTCTTTAGGCATGGCACCCAGTGTGCCGACCACTAGGACCACTTTTACTGGCTTGTGCCAGAGTCTTTGCAGTTCAATCTTTAAATAATAATAATAATAATAATAATTATAATTATTATTATTATTATTATTTATCACTACAAAAAAAAAGACAATGTTAACCTAATCTGGCCACGGTGATCCATGTCTTAGTTACATCTTGTATGGATTACTGCAATGAACTCTACATAGGGCTGCCTCTGAAAACATCTCAGAAGCTTCAACTGGTACAAAGATCGGCAGCCTGGCTGCTGATGGGAGTGGGTTATAGAGCTCATATAACCCGCCTCCTGAAGCAGTTTCACTGGTTGCCTATTTGCTTCTGGGCTCAATTCAAACTGTGGGTTATTACCTTTAAAGCTCTGCACGGCTCAGGTACTGCCTATTTACATGACCGGATCCCCCCCCCCCCCCATATAAACCTGTTCAGGCTGGTGGGGACGAGGGAGAGGTCCTTCTCAATGGTGCCCCCTGACTTTGGAACAGCCTCCCCAGGGAGATTTTATTTATTTATTTATTTATTTATTTATTTAATTTACAGTATTTATATTCTGCCCTTCTCACCCCACAGGGGACTCAGGGTGGATCACAATGCACACATACACGGCAAACATTCAATGCCATTTTTAGACATACAGACAGATAGATGTATTTTTGGCATTTTCCACTTAGATGCCTGGAGGATATGCTCAATTCCAGCCATGGGGGGAAGCTGTCGTTTCATCCACTATGACACTGAGTCATTTTGATAATATTTCCTCTTTGTTCTTTGACCGCTGGCATTTTTGTAAGATACCTCCCTACTTTCAGCGGTATCTAATTTCTCAATTCACAGCTCAGCTGTTTTTGAACTGCTTAGGTGGACAGTAAGCTAGACTTAACAGTCAGGTGCTCAATCTGACTCAGGTTTCGAACCTGTCACCTTCCAGTCAGCAGTAATCTATTCCAGCCAGTAATTAACCAGCTGTGCAACAGCCTGGCCAGGCAGACATCAACCCTCACTGCATTTAGGAAGGACCTGAAAACCTGGCTATTTAAAAAGTCAATCTCTAGGATTTACCTCGATGAGGTAGTAAGCCCTTTTAGCTCATAGGAATGACTGTGTTTTTAATCTAAGGCTCATAATTTTATTTTTAATTTTGTTACTTGGTTGTGCTGTATTTTGTGTTTTATATTAATTGAATGCATTATTAATTGTTTATTCCTTTGTATGTATTTTCATTATAGGAGTCCCTGGTGGTGCAGTGGGTTAAACCCCTGTGCCGGCAGGAGTGAAGACCGACAGGTCGCAGGTTCGAATCCAGGAAGAGGCGGATGAGCTCCCTCTATCAGCTCCAGCTCCTCATGCGGGGACATGAGAGAAGCCTCCCACAAGGATGATAAAAACATCAAATCATCCAGGTGTCCCCTGGGCAACGTCCTTGCAGACGGCCAATTCTCTCACACCAGAAGTGACTTGCAGTTTCTCAAGTTGCTCCTGACACGACAAAATTTTTTATTGTATTATACTTATTGTATTATTTATGTTGTAAACCGCCCCAAGTCCCCTAGGGAGAGGAGGCGGGATATAAAGAAACATTATCATCATCATCATCATCATCATCATCATCATCATCATCATCATTATTTGAAACACAAAAAGATTAATACACAACAAACAAGGTCACTCTGCTGGCTGTGTTACATTGGACACTTCACAAGTGTCTAGGACAGTGTGATGTATTGGCAAATAATGCGTGCAGATTGTGTTTAAGTGCAGGTGAAGGTCTTTAGGCACTGCACCCTGTGTTACTATTATTATTACTATTCTAATTAAATAATAATTATTAATTATTAAAAATTATTACTATTATTATTATAATCATAATCTTCTTCAGGTGCATGCATACATGCAGGAGAGGGTGAGTGTTGCATTCAGCTTTACTTTTATTTGAGTTTACCAAGCTCTTCTCATTTTTTGTATTTGGAACAAAAGAAATTGAGCTAAAATTGACTGTTTGCATCCATCCAGGTTTTGTGTGCTTAGCTATTAAAAGGAGAGGGTTACAACCATTCTCTGGTCAAGCATATTTGTGTTGCTGAATCAGACAGCATTTGAACCCTGTTTTTTTAAAAAAAGAATCAAGCACTTAAAACTTGAGCAGATGAAATTAGCCAATTTCACTTTTTCCTACATTCATATCTGCCTTATGTTGTTCTAAAGATTACTTTTTGTTCCAAAGAGGCTCCTTATTTTTAACACCTTCATAGCAGAATGGTTTTTCTTATACTAGGAACAACAGTAACAATAGACTGCAAGTGTCAGTTCAAATGAAACAGAATTTAATTTCAGTTTAGTTTTGGAGACTATACTCATACTTGCATATCCCATATTTGGGGCAAAAAGAACATAAAGTTTAAACATTTTGCAAGTGGAAGGAACTGCCAGCTTTCACATTCCCAGTATATGCTCTGCATTGTGTCTGTTTCAAGAGACATCACCACATCCTCTTGAAAACAAAACAGGAACAGTGTTTTCCTATGGGCAGAAAATACAAGCTGTCCCCGATAAACCAGAGATGGTGGGAATTAACAGAATCTAACAGCACACAACTCAGGTCTGAACATGCTTCTATGAGGTGTTTACTTTAGTATGAGATAAAAGAGCTGTTTTACATTCACCCTTTGAGACACCCAATGGGAGGGGGGTAGGCAACATCTGTGAATGTAGCTGAAACTGGTTGGGTGTCCTTTGTTCATCCTGCTTCCCATACATTAGAGAGATGTTGGAGAAAGTTGGTGGGGATATTCTAAACACAGCCAGGGTCACTGTGCTCTCAACAGGAAGTGCCGCTTTGTAGCTGATCCCTTGGAATCCCAGAGTCACTCTGGAGCAAGATCGGGAGAACCTCCGAGCTGTGTGACCACATCGGGCTTTTGCAGCTGTATTAACTGCTTGGGCAGGATCAGATTACACCTCTCTCTCTCTCTCTCTCTCTCTCTCTGCCTCTTTCTTTCTGGCCCCAAGGTCCTAACTTCTGAAACTGGAAGAGGAAGAAGTAAACATAACACTCCTTCAGGAATTATCTCATTCCTTTTGGAAAGTAACTGAGCACTGCAAACTGGTTGGCGGTAAGTATCTGGCAACATTCTTTCCATGTTAAATTACTTATTTGGCTAGAAATGCTTCTTTTTTCCCTGGGTGGAGTACAGAGATTTGGTTGTTGTTTTTGTCACTGCTGTTGTTGTCTGCTCACTTCATGTTCGGCACAGAATTTAAGAGTATAACTCAATATTTCTAAACTTAAGTTGAACTCTGGCACTTCCTAGAAAATCAGTGTCAGGTTGTGTTTATAAGTACCTGAACATAAAGGAAAAAGTTATGAAAAGATAGGCATAGAGTCCTCTAAAGAAAGGAGAAACTATTTCATGGTTTATATGTAGCATTTTTATTGTAGGGCTCTGCATGCGCGGTGATATCCTAAAATGCAATCCGTCTAAATTATGTCAAAGTGGGGGCACTTCTATGTAAAAGGAATGAATACAAATCTGAAGAAAGTTGTGACACTCTGTGATCACCTCCTGAAAAGAAAAGACTGCTTTGATGTATGTATGAACACAATGTTAATTAGAGAAGGCTTGATTCAACTTCTACTCAACGTTATCACATGAAGCAGGCAAACTGGCATTGAAGCAGAACCATCACCAAAGGTATATATCACAGAATGACAGACACATTCCATTGTCAATCTCCCTACTCCCTATGATAAACCTGTCTTCTGCAATTGATGGAAAACCTGGTGCAATGGGACCATTCCACTTCTATTCTAGTCTGCTGGCATAAAGTGACATCAGAGGGTGGGGTTCTCTTCCCTCACTCCCCTTTGCTATTTCAAATGCACTATCTTTTTGGAATTAAAGTTTTATTTTTATATGTTTTCTTAAGCATAACTGGGATCGCAAAAATCCTTATAAAACATATTAAAATTATGGAGTAATGAAAGTGTAAGAGGACAGTATTACTAGTAGGAGTGGAGGACAATGGTTTGCAACAGGTGTACAAATGGAGAAATGTGAGATAACAAGGGTGCTCAAGCTGGTATGTTGTGGCTATCAGTAATCAGACTGTTGTTATTGAAAAGCAGTTTCATGCAATGTAGTCCAAAGTTAGGTAATTTGAAGAAAAGTGGTGTTTTTTCCACTGTAAACCACACATAGGAATAAATTCTGCTAGATGCAGTGATGATTACAGGAGCCCCAGGTGGCACAGTGGGTTAAACCCTTGTGCCGACAGGATTGAAGACCAACAGGTCTAAGGTTCAAATTCGGGGAGAGCGCGAACTCCAGCTCCCCATGTGGGGACATGAGAGAAGCCTCCCACAAGGATGGTAAAACATCAAAACATCTGGGCATCCCCTGGGCAATGTCCTTGCAGATAACCAATTCTCTCACACCAGAAACGACTTGCAGTTTCTCCAGTTGCTCCTGACACACACACACACACACAAAGTGATGATTATGTGTGTTGGATCACATTTACATTTTATTACCTTTATTTTTAAATGATGTTTTCAATCTATTGTTTTAATGAAATTATTTCAATTGCAATTTCAAATGCCATTGGTTGGTTCCAGGAGTTCCCATAGATCACTGCTGTTCCTAATACTGTGACCCCTTATACAGCTCCTCTTGTTGAGGTGACCCCCAACCATAACATTATTTTAATTGCTACTTCATAAGAGTAATTTTGCTACTCTAATGTATTGTAATGTAAATATCTGATATGCAGGATGTATTTTCATTTGCTGGACCAAATTTGGCACCAATACCCGATACGCTCAAATTTGAATATTGGTGGGGTTGGGGAGGGGGGAGATTGATTTTTGTAATTTGGGAGTTGTAGTTGCTCAGATTTATAGTCAACCTACAATCAAAGCGCATTCTGAACTCCAGCAACGATGGAATTGGACCAAATTTGGCACACTGAACTCCCATGACCAAACTGGAAGGGTTTGGTGGGCACTGACCTTGAGTTTTGGAGTTGTAGATCACCTATATCCAGAGAACAGAGTGGATGAATCCCCCCTTCCTTTCCCCGGCTTCTGTCTTAAACCAGAGAAGCATTTTGCTTCTTTCACCTCCAGCAAATTCTTTGTTGTGATTTATCTATTTTGCCAATGTTTCTGGGGCGATATAGCATCTATAAAATGTTTTATACAGACTCTCCCTAATTGATTCCGATAATGTAAATTTGAATCCTTTGTTCAGTGTGCAATATTCATTGCAATGGTCAGAAGCAGATCCCTTTTGCATTCCCCACTGGTGCCAGAGATAACTCATGTGAACTGCTTCCCAATCAGCAGGGAAACAAATGTCCATTGATCACAGTGGCTACTTTCTAGTAAATGGCGATTGGGGAACTTTCATGGTCCTTAAATAGTCCCTCATCCAGAATTTCTCAAACTGTGCTCCTCCAGATTTTTGAACTTCAGCTCCCACAATTCCTAACAGCTGATAAGCTGGCTGGAATTTCTGGGAGACGAAGTCCAAAACATCTGGGGGATCACAGTTTGAGAAACACTGTCCTAATCCATAGCTATCCAAATAGCTCACTCAGTTGTTATACTGGTTGAGAGTTATGGGAATTACAATCCAAAAAGTATCTTTTTCAAGCTTTGATATATATTATAGAATCTGACATTTCTGTCATGACTCCAGTGTCTTCCTACCTTCTATTTATTTTATTTTATTTATTTATTTACAGTATTTATATTCCGCCCTTCTCACCCCGCAGTTGACTCAGAGCGGATTACAATGTACATATACATGGCAAACATTCAATGCCATAGACACACAACATATATAGACAGACACGCAGAGGCTATTTAACATTCCAGCTTTTCATGAGGGTAGTCTGGCCACCAGGGGAACTGTCACTTCACCATCCATTTGTGACACTGATGGAGTACTTCCTCATTCTTTTGCTTGCTTACGGGAGATTTTATGGCATTGTAAATTAGTTAAATAAGCCTCCCCGCATAAGCAGTACCTAAATTTCCTACTTGACAGATGCAACTGTCTTTCAGGCTGCAAAGGTTGACAGCAAGCTACACAAAGGTCAGAAGCTCACTCTGACCCAGGCTGACTTTGAACTCATGACCTTTCGGTCAGTAGTGATGTCAATGCAGCTGACTCTCAGCCAGCTGCACCACAGTCCCGGTGCTGTTGCTTTGTGCCTTCAAGTTCTTTCTTACCTAGAGAGACCCTAAAGCAAATCTATTACAGATTTTTCTTGGCAAGATTTCATTGAGAAGTTTACCATTGCCTTCCTCTGAAGCTGAGAGTGTGTTACTCGCCCAAGGTGGGTTTCATGGCCAAGCATGGATTCAAATCCTGGTCTCCTGAGTCATAGTCCAGTGCTCAATCCACTATACCATGCTGGTTCTTATGTACTATTATCACCTTACATTAAAATTGAACCATAGACCTGGCTCAGCAGGAGGTGTTCCCCATGGAAATGACTAACTGCTGTTGGCCTTGGCATAGCAAAAGTGCTTGGCATTAATAATATATGTAAACATGACTTACAAGAGCTAACAAAAAGGAAGTCAAGCATAAAAGAGAGCTGCGGAATATGATTCAGTGCTCCGGAAATGGGTCATTAGCCCACAGTGAAGCAATATAAAGATAACAAGTGTTCCCTTAGTATCTTATGGCCAGAGGTTAATGGAGAGAGGTTCAGCTGTCCTGAAGAAAAGTGGATGGGCTACCTGATGCCAATAACTGCACTTAAAAAAATGGCCCCAAGCTATAATGCAGACATCCCTAGTGATATGCAAATCTTTATGAAGGAGACACTTATAGAACCCAGCAAATCAATCCTTTCTTATGATAACTTCCTTTGATTCAGATAAAGGTCTTTGTGGCGGGGGGGGGGGGTGTCCAACTCTTCCACCAGTGCAAACAGAAGACTGGGGGGGGGGGGTGTCTATATTGGTTGAGTCTGGAATGAGGAGCATTAATCCACATCAGATCAGGAGCCCTGTGGTCATGAACAACTTTTAAAATGTCACCCATGTAATTGCTAATTGAAGGAATGGATACATGACAGTCTAATCTGACTCTTGCCTGTAGCTCGTTTCATTTCAGTGGCACAAGGGGAAGACATTGATACTTTCGATGGAGGGGGCTTTGCTTGGGTTCATCTCCCTATTGTATTGTCCATGGTAGCTTCCTATTTATATACGTGTGTGTGTATACACACACACACCTACACTGTTATTGCCTTCAGGTCATTTCTGACTTATAGCAACTCTAGCACAGGGTTGTTCTTGATAGGATTTGTTCAAAGTGGATTGATCATTACCTTTTTTTTACACTGAGAGTATATATCTAGCCCATCATCTCCAGTGAGTCTCCATGTCCCAGCAGAAATGTGAACCCGGTTTCTCAGAGTCAACTTCTCAAACCAATACACTTTGTTGTCTCTGAATTATTGCACTCAGATAATTCTCCTAATTTCATGAGATTAACCTTAATTGAGAAAAAAAGAAAGAAAGAAAGAAAGAAAGAAAGAAAGAAAGAAAGAAAGAAAGAAGCTCTAGAGATAAAAACTGGCACAAATATTTGTCTTCAGAAAATGGAAAGCTCCCTAAAGGATGTGGCTAATTTTTTAAAGACAATCTAAGTTCGGTCTAATGTTTAACCATTGTGAGGCAGTGATTAATTACTAACTAGAACTAGAGCGTTAAGATGAAAGACTTCTTTTCTTCTGATTTGTTTCCTTGCATTTGTTTCGCACTGCAAAATGATGTGGCACTGATGCTATTTCTGTGTGCCTGGGTTGTACTAGATGGATTCTCAGATTTTTTAAAAAATGCCTTTTCCACATCACTTTAGACAAAATCTTTTCTTGTAAGCATGTTAATTCATTCAGCTATATAGGGCTATTTCCTACCATTAAGCAGAATGAGGCACTTGGTGTTAACAGTAAAATCATAGAATCATAGAATCAAAGAGTTGGAAGAGACCTCATGGGCCATCCAGTCCAACCCCCTGCC